ATTCGTTTTTACTTGGCTCCCCAACCCTACTGACCCAGTTGGCCTAGAGAGGACTGAACACCTTCACTATAGCTTTGAAGGCAAGAGTAGACAGTTCATCATGAAAATTCAAGACACTGTCACAAGAAGGAACAATGGATCTTGGACCAACAAAAACAACAGACGTTCATTTTACCATTCTGACTCCATTTTTAGGTGAAGAAACTGAGTCCCTGAGGTAAAATGTTCTCCTCAGTCCATGATGAGACCAGAATTAGAACATCACTTTCCCATCTGCCAGGACTTTCCTCATTTTACTACTTTTTCTCCTTCACACATTCAGTCCTTTTAAACCTCTCTCTTTTAGGAAAATGAAATAAAATCTTACATTGCCTCCCCAAACTGCTGTGAAGTGGGCTGATGTCTGAGAAATACATTACTAAATTAAATACACTTTTTTTCAACCTTAAAGATAAATGCCAGACAAATACCCCAAGGATGCATGGTTGCCAAAAAACTGAGGAAGAGTTTGTATTTGGCTGTGAGCACCCAAAACCAATGCATAGGAAAACGACTTCTTTCTTATCTCAGGAGTCTGACAGTTTTAATGATCATGTCAAATGCATTTTCAGTCATGTTTTTTCCAGGTTATTTGTGCTGTGAAGTACTCTGTCTTGGGAAATGTCAGAGTGCTGTGCTTTCAGTGGGTGCCGTTTTTCATTTGAATGCACTGGAACAAGATTCCACTGAAAAATATTCAAGTTCTGCGAGGCACATTAAATTGTTTTTAATGCCGCCATTATTATGAGAAGCTGCAACCAGCAAACCTGAAGCAACATTCAACATACAAGTTCTGCCCTTGGCGCAAACGCGGACGTACATGGTAAGTGTGGGGTGGAGCATTTTTAGTTCAGGAATGTCCTTTAGTAGCCTCAGTGCTGGAAGTGGCTCAGAGGTCAACCCTTCCCGAAGCCTTCCTTGGCCACCACACTTGAGAAGTTTCTCCATAGTAATTACAACTGCATCCTAATTGTGTGTAGTAGCCCCTAAGATCATAGAGCTTGGAGCGGTGCCTGGGTGGTTCAGTTGGTTGGGTATCCGACTCTTGATCTCAGCTCTGGTCTTGATCTCAGGGTCGTGAGTTCAAACCCTGTGTTGGGCTCCACACTGGACATGGAGCTTGCAAATAAAAAAAAAAAAAAAATCACAGAGCTTGAGTAATCTACTGGGTTCAAAATCTCAGCTAATTGCAGTTGTTGCCCTTAACGTACAATAACTAACCTTTCTGAGTCCCAGGTCCTGTAACTGAAAAATGTGACACAGTACTACGCAGTTCTTAAAGATGTTGTAAGATTTAAATGAGGTTAACTGGTGCAAAGCATTTCTAAAAGTGACTCATCTGCAGTGAGTATCATGTAAGTGCTTTCTATTGTTATGATTAATTTATTGTCCTGTGTCTCTCCCCTTCCACCTGCATTAGACTCTGATTTCTGTGAGGGCAGGAACCATATCTCTTATTTTATCCAATGGGTATCCAGTAAGAAAAGTGCCTCCCACATAGTAGGGGGTCAATCAATATTTGTAGGTCAAAAGGATGGATAGATGAATGGATGGACCAATCTGATAATGTCCCAAGTGCTTTCACATATATTGTCACATTCGAGCTCCCAAGTGGGGCTGTCATGTGGCACTAATACGTCTTTCATTTTATGTATTAAGAAACTGAAATGTTGGGGCACCTGGGTGGCTCAATTGGTTAAGTGTCTGCTTTGGCTCAGGTAATGATACCAGGGTCCTGGGATCCAGCCCGCTTGAGGCTCCCTGCTTAGCAGGAAGTCTGCTTCTCCCTCTCCCTCTGCTAGTCCACCACCCCACTCGTGCTCTCTCTCTTAAATAAATAAATAAAATCTTAAAAAAAAAAAAAAGAAAGAAAAAAAGAAACTGAAATGTGGAGTAACTTGCTTGAAAGCAGATTTCAAATATAAATCCTGGGCTTGAGCTCTGGTCTCTGACTCCAAATCTCATTCTCTTCTGGTTCAGTCTTTTATTTCTTCTTAATGTTTTCCACCTCTGAATCCCGTCTACAAGATTATTCTATAAAAGAGGGAAATAATTTGCCCTGTTCATTGCGTTGTTTTGAACATCAAAAGTTAAAATAGGTAAAATACATCACACTGTTACCCCAATGTAAAATTATTATTGTGTTTAGTATTTGGGGGATTGCAAAAGGTAGCTGGATTGTTTTGTGAAATGACTTTAGAAGGGAAAGAAAATATTTTAAAACAGGTGAGAGAAGAAAAGAGACTCTGGTAAAGGGAGGGATAAAGGATTTACAGTAGGAATTGGCCTTGAATTTGAAGCATTTCCTGATCCCGGACCATGTGGTCAGGTCACGCTGGTCAGGCCACCTAGAGAGAAAAGGAAAGTACCTTTCTAATGTTTCAATAATTTCTTGAATTATTGAGGTGTGGTCAGCATGCATTCTGACATTTTATCACAGGTTTTCAGCTCTTGCCTAATGACATTAGGGAGCTTCAGTTTTAGCCTTCTGTTTCACCTCCCCTTCATATAGAAAAATTGAGTTTCCTGGATGATAAATTCAGAAATCTTCTTATTTTTTCCCGCTACCGCAACAGAATCACAAATTCTGTTGAGCTACCAAGAGAGTTGAAAAAAGGAAACACCCACAAAAGAACTTTGGTAGTAATGAGAAGTATAATTGCCGATTAATAGCATGATGATTGATAAACAGAATCGACTAACAATTATTGAACAGTTAGTATGTGGAAGAAACTACGTTACATGGTTTTATATGCATTGCTTATTTCTTTCCACCCATACCCCCACCCACCTCCACCATTTAATTGATTCATTCATTTCTTCAACAAATATTTACTGAATGCCTATATGCCAGGCACAATTTCAGTTACTAGATAAGACTTACTGACCTTTTAGAGCTTATATTCTAATGGGACATAAAGTCAATAAAAGTCAATGAAAAATTGACCAATAAATACTGGATAAACTATCAGATAGTGACAAATTCTATGAAGAAGAACAAAATAATGTGTAAGAATAAAGAGTAATGGAGGCCTGAGGTGATTAATTCTATTTAGGTGGAGTGAGTGGTCCTGAAGAGTTTAAATTTGGGCAAAGGTATGAATTAAGTAAGAGGTTAAGCCACACAATGTTGACAGAAGCGCATTCCCGGAGAAAGAAACAATAAGAGCAAAGTCCCTGAGGCTGTACAAAGCTAGATCATTAAGGCATACAGCAATAAATCAGGCAGAGCCCTGGGGTAGGGCTTTAAAGAAGATATGGGGAGGTTGGATTTTCTCTGAGTGTGATGGAGAGCTCTTGGAGGGTTTGGACAGAGGAGTGATACAATTGGATTTACTTTTCAGAAGATCATTCTGGCTCCTCCTGCATAAGAAATAGTTTGTACGTTATAGGGCTAACACGAGTAGAAGCTGGTAGAACAGTCAGGAGGCTATTGTGCTAGTCCAGGAAAGAGACAGTGGTTGATGTGGAGGGTGAGGGATGGGGGCAAGTAGTCAGCTTTGGAAGGTAACATAGTTCTCTTCTGATTACTTCCACTCTCTGGGTGAAATGAGTTGATGTCATTAGCTGAGAATGACAAGATTTGAAGAAAAAAAAAAAGTGTGAGTTGGTCCCCAGAGAGTGAGAAAGTGAACAGACTTTGGAAAAATACTAGGATTGTGGGGTAGTGGGGCCTGTTTGAAGTTCATGGTCGTCAGTCGAATGTGAGACACCACCACATGGTTGTGTGTTTTTCTCTACACACCTTCAGTTGTTCTGGCGAGGGCAGAGAATCTGGTTTAATTGAGGCTGGGATTTCGCTTGCTAGGAGTGGTGCATAGGGAGGTGGAAATGAAGGTTTGTATAGCTGGGCTCTGGAACCCAAGAAAATGAGGGCATAAGGTTGTACTGCCTGTGAAATGTGGACATTGGTGGATCAGATTGTGTCCCTGCTGCCAAAGATCTACTGGCGTGTGCTGTGGACTGAATTTCTGTGTCCCCTCAAAATTCTTAGACTGAACCCCTAACCCCCAGTGTGATGGTATTTGGAGGCTGGGGCATTTGAGAGTTCATTGTTTAGATGAGGTCATGAGGGGATTGGAATTGGAGTCAGATGCTTGAAATGGAGACCTTGAAGAGATTGGGGCACGTTATCATGGAAGTGGGTTATCTTTATTAGTATAATACAGTGTGTACAGTGTTTTATATTTGCTGGATGTTTTTCTCCTTTGTATCACTTGACTCTTCTCGGTTGTCAGAATAATCACAAAGTTGAGACCAGCCAAGCTCACTGTCAACAAGGTGAAGGAAGAAGAGGTGCCTCCTATTACAGTTAAGACTGTGATGTTGGCTTTGTTCTGGAGGTGTGATGATGCGGTTAGAACATGCCCTGGCCTTTGGGCTCAGTGAGGAAACCCACACATCTGCCTCCCTTGATGCAGGGAAGCCTCACCATTCCCAGGCAGGTGATGGTGTTTATCAGCAGGAAGGTGTTGTAGGGAGCCAGAGAGTCTCCTAGGGGCCCTCATTCCTGGAGAGCTGCCAGCTCTCAGTAAGTTCCCACCACGGCCTACTTTTCAGTATGGGATCCAAGTTTCAATTTCACGCAGGTAGAGGTCGGTGTGCATGCTGTAGGTCAGTGCGCAGGAGCTGGGCTTCTGCTCTCCAGCAATCCTTAAGTAAGAGCCTGGAGCGGCCCAGGAGGCTTTCCAGGGGGGCGTGGGTGTCTTAGCTCCTCAGCCTCGCTGCTGCAATATCCAGGGGTGCGTCCCCCCTTTTCCGATTCTTGACGTCAAGCTCCGACAGCGCGGAGCCCGGCAAGGGCGGTGGAGAGCAGAGGGAGGGTGCCAGGGAGGGGAAGCCATTGCAGCAACAGCTTGTAGGAGGGAGCTGGACGTCTCTCGGTGGAGCAAAACCGGCAGCGGGGGCCAGAGGAGGGGGAGGAAGGGGACCTGCCCGTTTAGAGAGCCGCCGGGTTGCTGCAAAGAGGGGCGGGGAGAGGCGGGGGCGCTGCATGCAACGCGCTGGCTCCAGCGGCGCCCGCGGGGAATGTGACATCAGCGGCGCCGGGCGCTTGCGGCTGGAGAAGGCAGCTCGCCTCGGCTGCGCGGTGCACACCTCGCCCGGGGGAGGACGCGGACTCGGGCAGGCGGCCGGGATGTCGGCGAAGGAGAGGCCGAAGGGCAAAGTGATCAAGGACAGCGTGACCCTCTTGCCCTGCTTTTATTTCGTGGAGGTGAGTTGGTCCAGCTCCTTGGCATAATGCAGGTCTTGCGGGCAGCTCCGGAGCGAATTCGGGTGCTGGACGGTGCCGGAGGCGCGGAGACTGTGCCGGGGCGCGCGCCGCTGCCCTACATGCCCGACCCTCCCCCTTCCCCTAGGTTTCTCCGGAGCTCCCCCGAGTGTGCCTGTGAGTGTCTGCCAGCCAGGGGTGATTATCACTGGTGGTGTCGCTGCTGGGTGGCCTGCAGGGAAGAGATACCTGTGTGAGTGAGTGTGGGGCTAGTTCCCTGGCCCTCCTGCTCTGCCGGTGTGCACAGCGTCCGTGGCCCACGGGGGCCATGATGCCAATATTTCGGGATTTGTGTTTTCAGTCCACGAGTACGTATCTAGAACTCTGTGAGCTTTTGGTAAGAATTCAACTGCATACAGCCATGCTCAGGAGGTATGAGGTCTGGGGATGTTTATAGAGCACTAGAATTACTGACTGCTTTATTAAAACACACACACACACAAGCGTTCCCCTATTATAATTACTATGGTGCTCATATCTGCTTCTAAAATTGGGTCTGCATCTCTAGGCATCAATCTATTGGCCCTTTTCCATGGCTAACAAAAATTATACATACCTGTATATATGTATGTGTATACGTATGTATATATGTATGTATAATATTTTTAAAATATGTGACACAATCTGCTTTTGCATGATTTCTACATGTACATTTATTTTGTGCTGAGCAGTATTAAGGATAAGCAATTAACATGCAGATGTAATCATAATGAACCTCTAACTTACCAAAATGCAGTATTTAAGAAAGGAACAATTTATGGGAGGGTTATAAAGATTGACAGGTACAGTGATTCCATGCACCGTGGTCCATTGCATTAGGAAGACATTTTTTGGGCAAGAGGTTTATTAAGTCAGAGGTAGAAAAGAGACACAATGGATAGGGTTAGAGAAATTAAATGGTTTTAGTCATAAAATTATGTTCTGTAATTAAAACTTGGATTGCAATAGAGAATATTAGAGTGTTGCTGAATTATAAATATCTTTCATTGGCCGTCTTTTCAGCCAAATATGGAGGTTTAGCACTTCCAAGTACAGATAGTAGATTCTGTATTTGATGAGGGTGAGGCTTATCTATATTGAGGGATAGCCATTGCCTTGAAATTTGGGCGAAAGGGACATTGTCAGATGGTTCTTGTAGAGGACAGTATATTTGCAAATTTCTCTTAGGTGTCCCAAATTCTAAAAATGGTTTCAGTTTTAAGAAAGACGTATGTGACTTGCATAAGTCTCAGAAAAATGATGGGTGACTCCTTCATCCATGACCCGTAGGAAAAGAAAGAAAAAGAAGAAAAAAAAAGAGAGGTATCCTGTTTATTTAAAGTAATTAATTGATTCATTTATTTTTGCCCTTTCTCTCTCACAAGGGATTTTGAGGTCATGGTTTAGATAATTTTGTTGAAAGATAATAGTTTCTCCAGAAAAAAATGTGGACAGCAGAAGATTCCATGATGAAAAGGGAACATAAATAGAAAGAAAATGGGATACCTGACTTTAAGCTAAATCATGTCAGGCCACTTGTCGCATTGCTAAGCCACTGTGGTTTTATACTAAAGCACTTTCATCCATGTCCGGACCCCTTATGTGTTCTAGGAGAAATCAGTTCATTTCTGGGTTCCACCTCCAGGATGGAGCACACCTGAGGTCAGCTAGAAGCTGACCACAATACGGATTGCAGCTGTATGGCTTCAGGGAAAACACTTTTATGAAAGAGGATGCAAACCAGAGAATTAAGGAGATGCCTTTGAAGAGTCTGTGTGTGCACTTTTGAAGTACCTTTCACAGGGGTACATACATATCACTTAATCTAAAATTTTATAAGCAAAAATGCCTCATAATGCATTTGAAATGTGTCTCTAGGAACAAGCATCTCACAAATGTCACTTCTTTTCCATGAGTGGAAATAGCCCCAAATCATTACATTCCCTTTGACCCATTCAAATAACCCTCTACAAATTCCTTAGCAGGGCAAGCTATAGAATAATTACTTGAAGACTATGCATGGAGTTTGAATGAGCATTAATAACATTATATCCTGGGGGTAACAGATTTCAAAGTGAGAGCCACAAAAATTGGATTGCAAATTATCTCCTTGAAACTTCAATGCATGATGAACCACTAAAGAACCTCTAGAAAATTGGAGAAGACATTAGTACACCAATTATTTAAGGGGTTGACAGGATGCACTACCAAGCTTCTTTGGAATGACTCATTTAGAAGCCAGTGAGAATGAGCTTTGTATCTCCTTTGGAGGATGAATAAATAGCAGGAATTAACATGTCAGTAAAATGCTCTAGAATAATGACACTTTGTTTTACACATAGTTTCCCAAGACCTTAGTAATTAAAATGGAAAAGTGAAACATGAGCGAATCTTCCATCACAGACCAGCCCAAAGTACGTATCTCAAGCCTTTCTCTGTTACCTCAGACAATAACTTAAGCCCCCACCTCCTCCCCAAATTCTAGAGGTGGTTCGGGTTCCAGAGCATTCCTGAAATGGACCTATTTTAATGGACAGGAAAGGAGAGAGTAACCAACGGAGTGCTATTTACAGTTTGTACAGTAATAATGACAACCATTTATGAAGCACTTAATAGATACTAGGAATAAAGCAAGCTGAATGCTTTACCTGCACCATCTCATTCAGTTTTCAAAGGTTCTCATTAAGAAAGACGCCATTATTGTCTATGTTTCAGAGAAGAAGAAACAGAAACTCATGGAAATTGAACAACTTGCCTGGGGTTTACGAAGCCGGGTCAGAGGTAGAGCCAGGTGTTGATTCAGAGCATGTGCTCCTAACCACTACCAACTGTCTCTCTCCACACACTGAAAGAATATTCACAGGGGCAAAGTTACTGCCTGTGGTCTCCCACTGGTAAACATAGGAATATATAGTTTCAAAGAAAGGCACATCGACAAAGATGACAGTTTTTTCCACAGTTTTCTTCCTCAGCTGAGTTCCTCCTCCACAGGATCCCTCTGGACATAAAGCGTTGGTGGACAGTGTCCACTCCCCATAATGACTCATTAGTTAGCTGCTAGGGTCCCCTCAACAAGTCCCCATGACCAGGTACAGAGAAAGAGTGGAGACCCTGGCAGTCCATGTGCAGAAGGTCAGAGGGCGGAGATTACATCCTTGTGGCCACTGGGTTAAGTGGTTCAGCCCCTAAAATCAAGTATTCTTGTCCCAACTCACCACCAAACTCAATGTTAAGCAAACACTAAATTAATGGATAGAATTCATTTTTCTTACATCTTTGGTTTATGCTGCCAGTTGTCTGCTGATGAAGGGGTTTATGCTTGACAGTAACTAAATATATTAATATTACATGGTGATTTGAAAAACACATGATGATTTCCAGCGGGGTACCTCGCTTTATGAACAAGTTTGTTCATTTGGTTTTGCATTGTTCAACTTCAAAGAAGCTCTCAAACAAGCATATCCAAGGCCTTATCAGGTTGAACAGAAAAGCAGGTTAAAAAGGAATGTTCCACTGAAGAAAAGGTTTCTTTTGCCTTTAAAGTTCCAAAGCACTCTCCAACTGATGGTTGTAGCACTTACGGTGGCGATTGCAGCCGGCAGCACACCTAGAATTAGTAAAAGGTCTTTCAAGCTTAATCATCCAACATTACATGTGATAAGGCTGATGGTCTGTGTGCCTAATGCATTTCTTTTATACAAGGCATCATAATGGTTGTGCCCGTGCTCAGACTCACCATTTTGTTCTCATTAGTCATCCTATTCAAAGATACGAGTTCACATCAATTCAGTAGGTAATATAAACAAATGACAAATACCTTTTAAGCCAAAAAGGTATATATTCTTAATAAATAAATGGGAAAGAGCTTTTTTTCATTTCAATGTTCTGTTTTATGACTTACACTTTTATTACTAATCTAATGTTCTTTTTATGGAGGTCGAAGAGCTGTGTTTGACCAATATGCCAGGATATTTTTATAGGATCACAGAGACAGATTGTTTGAAATTCTTGTTTTTCTACACACACACACACACACACCTGCACAAACAGGCAAGCACAAACCCAGGTTGAGTGAGAATATCATCTCTATCCGTTAAGCATCAAATAGCAGTATCTGAAGCATTGCAGATTCAGGATATTTTAAACACAACAAACTTGAAATTATACAGAAAGTTTTCACCAGTTTGAATGTCGTACTTAACAATGGCTATGTTTCAGGATTTTGTTAAGGCAGGTTAATTACTGTAGGGTTGGTAACCAGACAGTGTGTTTGAGAGTAAAAGCCCTTGTTTCTCGGTTGCCGTCCTACCTGGAGAACTTCCAAAAGCCTTTGTTTGAACACAGATACCCTGGTTAGGTGTCTGAACACCACGCCCAGACATTCTGGTGTCCTGATAAAACGTTAATCTGAATTTTGTTTTCTTCCCACTGGAAAGTGTCCACAGATTCTTAATTGTGGCAAACCTTAATTTACACAATTTCTGTTCTAGCTCATGATCTGCGTGAAAATTATATAACTCATTTGATCTTCTCACTGGGAAATGTAGCTAGCTTATTTCCTTCCACATAAACTTTGGCACCAGTAAGAAGTACAAAATCACATTTCTGCATTGCACATACCAAAATAGTACCCGAAGGCTTTTCCCTTTTCTGGATGGCATGGCGAAATAGTCTGCTCAAAGTAGTCCTGCAAACCTGCCAACAGAGATGAGCTGACAAATTTTCCTCCTCTTTTAGAGTCACAGTGCACAAAGTCCTCTGATGAAAAACCAGAAGGAAATAAAGAATAGATTCCTAAGTTTTAGAGAGACTAAATGAGGACATTTCCACAAATACCAAGTTTTGGTAAATATGCAGAACCTGCTACTAGGGAATTCTGCGCTGTTCTAGGTACCATCGCCATCCAACTGTGTGTCTGTGACCAACTCACTCATAATGTTCTGTGGTCTACTTTTCTCTAACAG